GTGTAACCAATGGAGGATCTGCATTATATGTGAGTACCTGCTGGTCCCTGTTAATATTCTGGCAGCTCTATTCTGAACCAACTGAAGTATCTGGACCACCTTCAAGGACAGCCCCATGTAGAACACGTTGTAGTAATCCAATCAGGAAGTTACCAGAGCATGGGTCACCATTGTTAGGCAGTGCTCATCCAGGTAAGGGCCCAGTTGATGGATCAGCTGAAGCTGAAGGAAAGTGCTCCTCACCACTGCTGCCACCTGAGACTCCAGGGACAGCTGTGGATCGAGGAGCACTCCCAAACTGCTTCATCTTGAAGCACTGATTAACAAAAGAATTAGTGGCCATAATGTATGAATTTTTAACTCCTGTACAAAGGTTAAAACATGGAGACAGTCCTTTCCTTCAAGTTCACAATCAAACACGGCACAAAAGGGAAAAAGGATGGGCAGAGAACAGGAATGTACTGTTAACATGTTGCATCATTGTTCTTATGATGACCAGTGCCCTGGTTTTCTCTTGGGAACTCTACTTTTAATCACAGGCTTTTAATATGCTAAACTAAGTAAATCAAATTGGCTGTAGGTTACAGACCATGGCTTTTACAAGAAACCATAACAAAAGAAACAAGCTGTTATGGTTCCTATAGTGCAGTACAGCACAGCTGAAAGATAATTTCAGACTAATTAGCATGAACTACTGTCCCTTTCCTAGTAACCAAGATCCCAAAGACCAAACCCTCAAGGCAATGTTTCTCAGAGCTGGCCTCTTAAAATGTCTCACTCCTCGTCCTTGGGCTTCTCTCCTTAACCAACATACTAACATTTCACCCTTGGACCTGTCACACCTGTCTCCTCCTCCCCCCCCCCCCATGACCATGGATGCTCATGGTTTCAGGAGAAGTTTGACTCTGCCTCCCATCTCTATTACCTCCATTCCTCCATCCTTGGAGCTACATTCTCAGCCCCCCCCCCTGCCCCCAGCCCTTCATCTGAATCAGAATCTATTCACATGCCTTTTAGAGCCTCAATCCCTACAAGAAGCCCCAATGCAGACAGCCCAGTAAGAGGAGGAGCCAAAAGGAAACTGGTCTGTCAGCTGAGCCAACGGAGTGCGACATGTTGCCCCATCTCTCTCAGTAGCAGCTAGATGGAATGGCTCTGGGAGTGGAGGAGCCCAATGACAGCTGTGAATTCTCACTGTATGATGTTATGTTTTAATTAAAACATGTTGTGTTCATTCAGCTTACTTCTGGAATGTATGAATTTGAAGAAGATAATGATTTATGTGCAAATGAAGCTCAAAATTACTTGTTTTCTTCTGTCAATCCTCCTAAAGTTACAACTCTCACAAAATTACTTGTCTTCTCCCTAGATAAAGTATATTTATTTTCTTGCTGCATTGTTATGTTTCATATGTATTGTTCCCATTTTGGTAGGCAGGTGATACATGATTCATCTGTAAATGGGATGCTGAGACAATCCACTTCATTGTAAAATAACAATGTGTGTGTACATTCGTGTAATCTCTCTGTTTTAAAAGAAAAAAGAGCCCCAGGTCTTCATTAAATATTTATTATTTATATTCTATACTCTCCTTGCGGTGTAGGGTTATGGCGAGATGAACTTTTCTCAGCTCAAAAATATTAAAGCATGAAAATTCTATTTGCACTCATTGGAGTAGCATAGCAGAAACCTCTGCGGGTATTTAATCATTCAGAATAAAGGATTTTCTTTAATTTTTAAACATGTATTTCATTTTATGTTTTATTTAAATTGTTTTAACATTTGCCTAGAAGCCCCTGAAGTATTAAAACTTTTGAAACTTAGGTTAGATTAAAAATAAACATGAAGAATGCTGCATACAGAGGAATGGCAGGAGAGAAAGAGAGAGAAAGAGAAAGAAAATACCACTGAGAATGAAACCAGCCATAATGATTACAAAGCATTACTTGCAAAAATGATCAAGCTGTACAATTCCTATAAGGAAGATAGAATTGTGTTGATCATTGGTAACAATACATATTTTTCAATATTATGAATATTTAAAGTACCACAAAAGATGTTCAAAGCTAATGTGCAGAACATGATTTGGTAAATCTGTTCTTTAGCTTGGAATTTAGAACCACAGAGACAAGACAGCAGTTTCCAGATGTTAATGAGACAGAAAATGTAGATATGGTTTGGCAAAACTGAATATAGAACTAGGATAGTGGGATATGATGAAGACCTGGGGGAGCTGCAAGGCATGCAAAATAACTTTACTAGCAATACTGTATTTTTACAAGCTAAGATTGAAGACTAGGGACCAAAATAAAGTAAGAGAAACTGAAAAGCTGAAGATGTCAAAAGAGCAGTGAAGAAACATATGACAGTTGCATGTGAAACAATAATATTTAATAGTTAATATTAAAGTTGCCATTTATTTTCTCCTACAGGGCCTAGTTTGCAACCCACTGAAATTGGTTAGTAGCATTAAGTTTCTCTGCCTCTTTTTCTATCCCAAAATATACCTTCCTTTTACATATTATCTTATTCAGAAAAGCCTAATATCTTCTAACATTTTTAGTTTAACTTTGATCCTATAAATCCATGCTAATGAGAATGCTAATTTGTATCTGTTTTGTGTTGATTATGTACGGCGAGCAAAACAGAATGCACCCTTGATTTTTTTCCACATACAGTAGTATTTCACTGTTTCTTCTTTAAGAGCTTTCTTTGTGTATTTTCCAATATATGTTCAGGCTGCCATCTGATTTTAGAAATCTTACTTGATTGTTTTACTCAGTGCTTTTTTTGTAAAAAAAAAAAAAAAGGTGCCGGAACTAAATAAACATAATGGTCGCCGCCAATCCCAAGCAGAGCAGTGAGCCCAGCAGCGCCCTCACTATCTCACTATCAGCACGGACACAAAAGCACACAAAAGTAGCCCTATGTTAATGATGTTTGCTGCTGACCTGCTACACCAACAGGTCAAAATCACTTAGTAAAATCCATTGGAAAAAAAGGTGCCAGAAAAAAGGGTTCCGGTGTGTTCTATGACAAAAAAAGCCCTGGTTTTACTTGTAATTAAGGCATTAAATCTGTTTAACTTTGCATATGAAGAAGAAGCAGGTTTTGGTAAAATGCATGTGACCTTTGTTTACAGATGATGCATGTGTGTGGGTATCCCAGAAGACACCACCTCAGAAGATGCATTCCCTCTTATGTAATATTGGAAAAAGGCAAAATGCCTCTTCAAAGATGGTGCCTGCCATTTGCAGCTTGTATGCGTGCTCTCTCTCTCTCTCTCTCTCTCTCTCTCTCTCTCTCTCTCTCTCTCGGGGTTTTAAAATGTTTTAAATTGGGTGATTTATTTGACTGGTCAGTAGACAATGCAATCCTAAGGCCCATAATAAACTATAGGATTGCTAGGGGGCATATGTTTCTTTGGACTTCCAGTCCAAAGTTGGAAAAGAGTTCTGACATCAGAGGTGGGGATCCACAATTAGATTACCCTCCCTTCTGCAGCCAGCATGGAAAGAGTCTTGCTGGCTGCTTTTCTGAGGTTGTAAGAGTGACCTTGGCGAAAGGGTAAAGGGTGAGGGGAGTATGGAGATCAGGGCCACCAGCATTTGGTGGATCTTGGTGACAGTCTGGCCTCCTTCACTTCCTGTCTGGGGTGCCTTAGCTGGATGGCGGAAATCAGCCTTTAGCTGGCTTTCAAAGCAGGAAGAATGGGAGGTGGACATTAGCTGACTCTGCTCCTTCCTATCCTGCACAGGATTCCTGTAATCATCCAAGTACAGTGGTACCTCGGCTCAGTTCACAACCAAATCGAGTTGCAAACAGAAATTTCAGAAAAATTTTGCCTCAGGTTGTGAACTC